CTACTCTCTCTCTCTCTCTCTCTCTCTCTCTCTCTGTGTGTGTGTGTATACCGCATTATCAATATTATGGTTTGTTTCATTCGCTTCCTGATTTTCAACTTTACTGAAAGTTTGCGCTCGTTGCCACGCACGCGTGAATTTTCCACCTTTAGTTGCGTATGCATCCACGTAGAACGGTCGCCTCTTCAGGTTGTGCCTCCTTCAAAAACATGTAAACTTCTTTTTTCAGTGTGTCGCCCAGGCTCCGGGGCAGGTGATGCTCTGAAGTAAAGGCGCTAAACAACGAGTTTGCCAAGTTTGCGATGAGCAGCGGATCAATGACTGGCTGTCGACGAATGAGATGTCTGTAAAGATGATTTGCCTCCTCCCTTAATGCGTATTGCTGCTTCTCGGACAGACGTGGGCCGCACAGCTCAATAAGGTTCGTCGTAATATGGTGGCATATGTTACGGTACTGATGGGAGAGGCGCCGGGGGAACGTCGGTCGCTCGTACATCACGTGGGTGACGACGTCGACGCTTGGCTCCCACCCAGGCACCGGCCAAAGTTGAGACTTGGCTTCCAACCCGTAACTTTTCACCTCGTCCTCGTAGAGAGCAAAGTTCGCCATCAAGTCAAAATAGTCCTCGTCAGTGCACGCCGGACCTGTCCTAAATACCGGATGCCACATCTCCTTCGCGTCTGCGCCAATGGTGACATTACTCGCCTTCCTGATACGGCGGTACCGCATCTCGTCCAAGTGCAAGTGGGCCACGACGAGCTCCACCACGCGTGTGGAGGGCGGCTGCGACGTCATCAGCGAGGATGTGGAATTGTCACCAAGGTCCATCACCACTGGAAGCTGAAAAGTCGGGAACTCCGCATTGACACAGTTTATCCTACTTTCTCTTTCACTCCTTTCTTTGCCGTCTTTTGAGCTGACGGGGGCAGATGCCCCCATGGGTCCTTCATTGACGCTTGAATGGCCCATTCCTTGTCTCCGCTTCGCCAACTCCGCAGACACCTGCAGCAGCAGCAGGTCCGACTGGAAGAAACGCGACAATCTTCCCAAACTCTGCATGCGGTAGTAATCTTCAATGTTAAGCCCTGGACGTACTAGGCCAATCTCATTCAAGTCATTGTCTATAAAAAACACGGTGTCCCAAATCCCGCTCGCCGCTAGGGACCGAACAATATCCATCTTTTGAAACACCGAGCCATCAAAAAAGGCAGTGTGCGCTGAGGGAGCAATGAAGTTGGAAAGACTCGCAAGTGAGATTCCCCACAACGAAGGCCGCATCACCAGCCAACGGACCTCGCTTGAGCACCGCGGCGGCTCTGCCGTCTCGCTAAGAAACCTTTCCGCATCCTTAGGATTTTCCCGCGGAGCACGGATGGTGGCGATGCGAACAACCAGGTTCTTACTATTTGCTGCGCCCGCACCACCGGAACTCCGCACCTTTGGCGGCGATGAGCACACAAACAGGTTACTGCAGCCCGGCTGCACCTTGCCTACATGCCCATCGAGAGGATTTCCACCCGAGAGGAAAAAAGGCGACAAGAACTCTAGTTTTCCGGCTCCGCCGGAGGCAAAAACATCATCAATACTGCCCCGTGAGAGTAGTAGGTGTCTCGCAGGGCCACTGCCAAAGAGACTAAGCAGCTCATTCTCGGTAAACATGGGACACTGGCGAACTCCGGGGACTCCCGAGGTCACCAACGTGTCATCCACGTCCCATACGCACAACAACTTCTTGGACCCTTCCACATTGGTCCCCCCATTGCTGTCAGGATGTTTTAAGGAGCTTGCAAGCGCGTTCGTAGAGCTACTCACGTGTGGCACGGTACCGTAAAGTGACTTCATCGTCTTGCTCACCTCTGTGAAGGTTTGAAGCTTCTTCAGAGTTGTTCTGATAGTCACATGAGAAGGCACGGCACCCGCAGCTGCCGCCTCCGGGAGTTCCTTGCCCATAAAACTATAACAGAAGAGTCCCTTGAAAGGGAAAAATCACAAGCAAAACAAAAAAAACACACAGAAAAGGCAAACAAAAAAAAAAATAGTGGCTGCCCTCAGTTCCAAATAAATCAACAAGAGCAAAAGAAGAAGAAAACGAGGTAGTTATGATCGACGGTGAAAAGAAGTAAGCAAACAGCCACGCGCAGTCCAAACGGAAGCCGGCGGGTCATGCGAAGGCAGGTTGGTCAGCGCACGCTCGAAAGGGACTGCACCACCTGCCCTCAGTACACGCGTGCAAAAAATATGGGTCTTGAGCAAGAGCAAGCGCACACATTCGCACAGGCTGGGTAGTAAAACAACACAGGCAAAGCAAATCAAAAATAAGAACAATGGCAAAGGAACCAAAAACTTCGATGAAAAACACAAACATGGAAAAAAAAACTCTACTTGGCACATATACATATTGAAAGCGAGAGAAAAAAAAAAAGAGGGGGCGGTAGCCCATATCCCGCAGGGTGAATAGCCAAGAAGAGGCAAAACACAAGCAGACGTTCAGAAAATGATGTTATCACAATGAAGAAAAGCGCGATTTCAACGAGCATGCGCGTCATGCTAGCATTTGCCTTCAATTGTCTTTGCCCTTCTCGCTGCTCGCTGAGCTTATTTCACAGCCAGTTACCCAACTGATGAAGTTTCACGCCTGGTCTTTTGCGGCCTCAACGCGTGGAATCAAAACGGTTGAGCCCTGTCTTCTCCCGCACCCACTTCAGCCCCTGCGCCACCATGATCCAAGTTTGCTTCTGTGTGTCGTGGGTGAAGTCCTTTAGCCACGTTTGACCCCGCGACTGCCTGACACGATCACAAAATAGAGTTTTGCACGTCCCCTCCGCCGCATCGCGCATAAACGTAGTATGCATCAACGCCATAAGCTGCTCGACTGAGTGCACACCGTCAAGAGCCTGCCGAAAAAAAACGTGGGACAAGAGCTGAAAAAGAATACTGGAGTATGGCCGCACCTCAAGAAACCAGTCAGCTGTATCCATAAGAAATTTGGAGAGAAAAACATCCGAGGTGCGTGCCGGGACACTTGGAAGCAGCCCTTGTTGTGGCGATGAAGAAGAATTAGACAATACCAATGACCCTGGCCGCCTCTTCTCATCGTCACACATGAACTTCAGCACACACTCCTCCAGGTCAAGGTCAAATCGCACGTAGCTTGTGGTGACTCGCTCTGCCAGCGTCCGTGCATTCAGAAGCATGCCGAAGTCAATGTGAAAGACGGCACCGCTTGGGTGCACCATCACATTGTCACGGTGTCTATCACCGATAGAAAAAATGTAATTCATCAAAATAAAAAATTTTGCCGAGCAAAGGAAGCTCTTTCGGACGCTGACAACTGAACCATCCTCCTCTCCTTGCGCAGGCTTCCCCGCCCCCTGCGGCTGATTCTGATTCCGTTTCGCCTTCTGTGGTCCGTAGTATTGTTCCAGCTGCAGCAGGTATTGCAGCAGGCGATGCTCCTTGTACGGCTGAATGGCACGCTGAACGGTGTGCCCGTCCTTCACAATCTCTATGATTCCAGAGGAGCATGAAAGGGGCATGACGTGGTAGGTGGGAAGCACAACACCGCTTAGTTGTTTGTGCAGCACCCACTGCAAAAACCTCGAGGTGATGCACATCACCTTGTCCTTTTCAAGGTTTTCATTCTTGTAGAGAATACACCGTCGCTCACCCCCCTCGTCAACAAGCGGAATCAGAACGGGCCGCTGCTTCGAGTTCATTGCCACAATACCGCCAAAGTCAATTTTTGTCAGCACAACCTCGCTGATGAACGGAAAGAAAATCGGGCAGATGGCGTACGTGTTCAGTAGTGTCGCATCTTGTGCCTCCCTTGCAGCAAGCAACAGTCCAGCCTTGCGGAGGTTTTTGTACAACGACTCGCGTATACCAGCAATGTCGTTTTGCTTGACATCCGTCATCCACGCGGAGCGCAGCACGTTCAGAAACTGCAACGTATTCAGAAACGTTTGATGTATTTCGGGTCGCTCTGCGCAATCCACATTAATCACTAGCCCCCGCAGGGTCTGGTAGCTCAACTCGTCATGGCGGCAGCGGGCGAAGGTCTCCTGGAAGATCATAAGCGCCAGGCCTCGGTCCTGAGCAGAGAGGTGTAGCAGCACTGAGGTGGCGTGTGGCTGACACGTCTTAAGCTCAAAGATATCCAGCAGAAGCACAACCACACACTCGCAGATACGCCTATCCAAAAAGGAGATTTCTTTCAGAAGCTCCTTCGTCACCATCGTGCGCATCAACTCCGCGGCAGGGTGACCCTCCGGGGCGCGGTGGAGGCACTCAAGCATCTTAATAGCAAAAAACGATGGAAGCATCCGACCACACGCCCTGGTGCACAACATGTACCAGTGGCTAACGGGTGGTTCCCAGAAGCAGACATGGGAACAGCCCGACCGCCCCCACGGGCCCGCACCCTTCAGCGTCTTCTCGAGCGTTGCTTGAGCCGCTGCGACGAGTTCCTGGTTACCCCAATCCATAGAGATGAAAAGAAAGATGAGTGGCTCAGGATGACCAACCAGAATGTCAACGCTGCTTGCCAGTATGCGCGCGGTCTGCGTTGCCACAGCTAACTTCCACAAGGCGTGCTGGTAAAGCGACGACCTATAGTCGCTAAGACACAGCTCGGAGGCGCCTTTCCACTGTGGACTTATAGAACGCAGGAGTGCGATGTCAGTCAAAGACAGACCCGCAAGAACAAATATCTCACACAAAAACGCGTGTTTGTTCAGCTTTTCCGCCCTGTCAAAGCACTCCTTACAGGCGCGTCGAAGCTGACCCTCTTCTTCCACTCCAGGTTTGCTCAGTTTTGCAATCGATTTATCTAGTTTCCATGAGGTGCATCGTGCGCAAATACGCCGGCCACAGCAACGACAGTGGCTTGGCCTGACTGTATTGAACGATAGGACGGACCACGAGACAAAGGTCACACCACACACGGGACACACCTTTGCGACATCCTCCGGCTCCCACACCGGGCTGTGAAATGGGTGCTTCTGAAAACTTGAAGTGAATTCCTCCCCAAAGGGTTTTTCATCGTGCATCACACGCACATCCGGGTCTATAGACTGTGTGAGTTCGCCTATCAGCTGTCCATTAGGAAAAAAGTAATGATCCTCCCGCAACTGCTTCAACCACTGCTGGTCCATCGCATCGCCGCTGGAGGCTCCTTGCTGTAGTTGCTCCTCCTTTGGGGATGAAACCAAAGGGGCATCGTCCAGTGCAAAGGACTGTATAACAGCCTTTCTGAACCTCTCAATCCCCATCTGCCCGGAGCTCACGAGTTCCTCTAGCAAAGAGCGACCAGTGGAGAACTTACCCCGAACGTCCTCCCTAAAAATGCGACTAAATTCCTCACAGAGAAGTGGGAATGTCTCCTCCATTTCCAGGCGTGCCGCGAGCTCAAGCACCTCCATAAAGAGCTTTCGGTTGTCCGACATCTGACGCACGTAAGCACGCGCAAGAGCCATCCTGTCGTTGGCTAACCTCTCTGCAGTAGGCGCAGCAGATAATGTCCTCTCCACAGCTGCTGCGTTGTCCATTTTATTATCCCTCGCAGTGGCAGTCTTCGCTTCGTTGTTGCGCTCATCCATGACACTGTTAAATGCCCTGGGTGCCTTACCATGGAGAAGCACAACGACTTTCTCCAGCTCTCGCATCGCCCTCGCTGACCCAAACGAGAGGACCACAGGTGGCCGCACTGAGAGCAGACGGCCAAGGTAAAGGCTCTCCGAGAATTCCAGCATCCATCGTGTTCCGTCTCCCAGAACAACGTCAACGGCAAGCACACCAAAATCGTACGAGTCGCACAAACCCAGTCCTGCTACCCTCAAAGAGGGCTTGGTGTTTTCGGTACCTACTTTTTCCGAATGTCGCATCCCCCAGGCGGGCCGCAAATTATACGGGTACTTCCCCTCCTTCCGCGTGAAGCAGTGCGCAGTGAAACCACACACGTTGACACAGCCAGGCTATGACGCAGCAAGAAGAACAAAAAGCAAAAGAAAAGGAAACAAAAGAGTGAGGTAAAAAGGTTTGTGCGAGTGCGTGTGTGGGATGTGTATTGCTGCAAGATAAGAGAGAGAAAAAGAGAGAACAATACGCCGTGGTTTTTGATTTTATCTTCCTTTGCTTTGAAAGGGGTAACAAGGAAAGCAAAACAAACACATTTACAGCTCGCCGTGCGCCTCCTCAACGCGGAGATGCGAGCCCGTGTTGCCAGTCATCGTCCACGCGACCAGTAGAAGTGGTTGTCCCAGCGCAGGTACGACTGCTTTCCCGTTAACTTACCGTAGAGTGCAACAGCCGCCCAGGAAAAAAATGCAATGCAAAAAAAAGCAAGCGCCATGTTCGCAAACGGTGGCGCAATTAAAGCGGAAATCGCCACAAGTTTACAAGCATTTCTATCGTTGCGAGCATCCCCGAGACCAATGTATATGCTAAAGGCCACCTGCATCAAAATAGGAGGCAAACACACGACCCAAAGGTGTCTTGTGGCCTCCAGCCGAATGACTAACACCAGCCCGATAATCACTAATACGATCAGTGCCACCATAACGGCAATGAAAATAATTGCACCCAACGAACACATATAAATGAAGCTAAGCGACATCAAACAGGCGACAACGTTATACTCCAGGTAAAATAGCGTTGTGACAATAAGGATACGGGTGGTGATAGCAATGGGCATCAACCGAGCCTGTTTTACCGCCATCACAGCAAACCCAAAACTGTTGCAGGAGTACTGGAACAAGGTGTTCCACATGAACAGGAACATGGACATCAAATACAATGTGTAGTTTACAGAAGCGAGGAGCTTATAGGCGGCAAGCTGCTTCGCCCCTTGGTCATGCAACGTGATCAGATAAAACTGCAACAGCAACTGCGGTGTGGCGAATAAATACGTATTAATAATCAAAACATTGGAGAGACCATTGTACAAGTCATGTCGTATGACAAAGTATTTTGCCTTGTCATGCAAAAGTTCGTACCGCAGTGTCACATACAAGAGAGCGATCTCAAAAATAGGGACGCAAGGAACCACTTTTAGCGAATTGTCTGGGTAGTCCCAGAGGAGGTCACTATAGTCACGAATACGACCCCCTTCAGAGATCATCACCACAACGATACTGCCCACGTACCCGGCCACGTAGCAAAGTGCCGTCCAGTAACCAAACGAGGGACGAGTGCTGCAAAACCAAATGGACATGAGCCAACCAATGGACACAAGGTTCAGCAAAGTAGCAGCCAAACCAAGCCACGTGATGATCATGGTTAGGGCAGAGCATAAATCTAATATACGCGCCACAATCCAACTAGGTGGGGGAATATTTCGTAAAAGATGCGGATTGTCGTAAAGCATCTTGGCGTATTCAAAGCCAGACTGGCGGCATTGGCGCGCCTGCTCCTTTGTGAGAGTTGCGCTACGCACACGGCACAGCAGCGTCAGATACTCGATTTTGTCTGAATACATGCAAGCCCGGTCCACTTCATCAGCACGCAACACGCAATCAATCTCTTCCTGAATGACTTCTTGCACATCAGGATCATCAACGTTGACACGTCCTGAGCGTAGCAAGGTTCCAATGAGCTCACTGCTTCCAGCAGCGGCGCGAAACACATCACCGTTGATTTGAACCTCTCTAAAGTCAAGTGCTGCAAGTATGATACGCTTGCATATATCGTTTGGAGTACGCCTATACTGGAGAATCATTTCACGCAGGTCAACGGTAATGTCCTCGGAGGGAGCCAAGGAGTCATCGGGTGGTGGCGTCTCCTCGTGAAATGGTGATCTACAATAGTCCCTGTAGCCCCAGTCACCGCTTCCATTTGAAGAACTGGGCGAAGTCCTCGCGATGGTGAGTTGCTCGTTGGCCGGCGCAGGCGCGTGAGGCAGCAGCGCTGATGCGAGGTACGTAACAGCGCCGTGGGCGGCTCTTCTTATCCATGAGGGAGGTTGCTGCTGTTGGCGATGATTTGCCGGTGAGGACGACCCGGTCACTGACGGGGTATCGTCTACCACCGGCATCACCTCCGCAACCCGCACATTCTGTTCGTCATCGGAGGAGTCATAAAACCTCACTTGGTACGCTCCTCCCCGGTTCATCTGTCCCTTACAGGGGCCTTCCATCCCCCTCCGCTAGCGATTATTTCCTCTTCCGCCTTGGGCAGCCTCTTCGCACCTCCGCTCCCAACTCCGTTGAAGCGAAGCCAAAAAGGGGTGGGTATAAGGGAATATTGCAGAAAACTGCTGGGCCTGATGCGGTCGATTCCCAAACCATCAGCAGTGTGAAGAAACAGAGAAAAGGGGGGGAAAAAAAGCAAGGTGTAGTGGTCTGTGAAAGCTTGGCGCACAAAGAAAGCAAGCAAGAAACAAGAGAAAAAGAGAAATATATATAAAACAAAAAGAAATGCGAGTAAAGAGAAGCAGTATGCATGCCCACGATCTAAGCGATCGAGTAAACGAGAAAAGATACCACACACACACACAACTAAAAAAAAAAAAAAATGCGGCATGGGTGACAAGGGATGCACACGACCTTCAATATTCATGGTGTATCCACAAACAAGAGGAGGAGGCTTCCACACACAAAGACGTAATGCGGAGATGCACCCTTCACTATTCAAGGTCGCCCGCCATATCCAATAAACGGGCCCGTAGCACGGTCATCTGCTGCCTCTGTACAAGGTCAGGAATGCGGTCAAGGTCCTCATCACGCATAGTGACAATGCGCTCCACATCCTCCTCACTGAGTTTCGTCAGAATTTCAATCACCTCGTCGCGTTCCTCATTTGTGGGTTCAGCCTTCTTCTCTGCAGTATCATCCTCCATCGTCGTTGGGACCGCGTTAACTGGCCGAGCCTCCGTGTGCCGCACCGCCTCCACTGGAAGCGGACCGTACGGTAAACGCCCTGCATGCTGCAGAATCATCACGACGGCTAGCCGAAGTGCTGGACAACTATCAAGCAGCTTCCGCGCCTCATCCTTCCGCTCCAGCACCAAGACGCGAAGTTGCTCCACTGCCTCGTAAGCATCAGACACAGGCATATGCTGCAAGCATTCCAAGATATTGGTGTCATCTCGGCCTAGCAAGGGGTCAACGTAGCCGCGTGGGAACGTCATTCCACCACGCACCGGTGGATCATGTGTATGCATATGCTGTCGATTGCGCTTTCTAGGTCGTGGGTTTGCCGCAGACATGACTTTCATCGTACGTTCGCCGAAGGAGGTGCCATTGAGCCGCTGAATGGCCTCCTCTGCACTGGCGACATCCAGGTAGTCGGCAAAACCGTAGCGGAAGTCCCTTCCTGGTGTCGGGCCCAAAAGGTGGAAGTCAGTGATGTGGCCAACGCTCTCAAAATGTTTTCGAAGACTTTGCGCCTCCACGAATAGAGGGACACTCGTAAAAAAAACTCCAGTAGAACGCGAAGCCACCATTAAATGCTGAGGAAATGTTGAGTCTCTTCCTTTTTTTTTTGTCTCCTTTCCTTCCTTCTTTGCCTCCTCTTCTCCAGGCTCCTTAACTACAGAGGCGCACGTACCCACTGACAGTCACAGGACGATGTAGCGCGGTTACTTCTTATTTCATTTTGTTTTGAAATACACCAAAACCAACACGACAAAACCAAATGAAAGCTGCTCATGCGAAGCAAGGCGGCATAACGCAAAAAAGAAAAAAACAAGGGACTGCCCACACCACACACTCCGTCCCATTTCACTGCAGATATGCATCCCGCCTCCCACACTAACCCCCACACACATGCACGACTCTCCCTTTCGCTCGCTCTCTCTCCATCTGCCAGTGTCAGTGCTGCAACAAAAAAATAAGGAGAAAAAAAAAAGAAGCCAGACCCAAAGGGAGAAAACTCGCTTCTTTCTTCTGCTTAGCTGTCCTTGTCGTCCTCCATGGCATCTTCAAAATACGTTGTCTCACGGTACCACTGCAGTGCATGATACGTCATGTATGTCCCCCTATGGCGTAACGTATGCAGTCTGGAAAAAGGCGCTTCGTGTACAGAAGCCGCACATTTGGGCCGAATGTAAAGAAGAAAGAGGCCAAAAGGCCAAGCTTCGCGCCTCATAACGGCTGCTGAAGAACCGTCGAGCATCCCCGTAGAGAAGCCAAGCATGTAAAGCACAATGAAATTGTTGTACACGTTAGAAGACCGCAGGGTTCCACCCTGAACGCTATTAAAGAGCAAGGAAGTGACGCAAACAGCCATGAGCGGGGTGTTCACCGCGTACGGGTTCATCATCTCCCGACATGAGTTGCCGCCCATGTATTGACTCCAGATGATCCCAACCCCAGTACCCTGTTTGTTTGCTTGTTTGTTTTGTGTGTGTGTGTGTGTTTTTTTTTTTGTGCGTGGGTTCGGTAAAAGTTTCAAACCTTAGCCTCCCCTCTGCGGTTAACTTCTCCTCCACTTCCCTATTTTTTGCGTGATTGTTTTGCGGCGATGGTTTGTCTTCCTTCCTACACCGTCACCCCCACCCCCATCACACACATGTCACACCCCACCTGCAGCCAATGTGGGTTGAAGGGTGGCACACGCCGCGTGTCAGAGCACCATCCTATGCACAATAAACAGCGCCCACGGTAGCAGCAGTCGTACAAAAAAAAAAAAAGAGAGAGACGCATACAAAAAGAGAAATGGTAATCCTCCAATCACCCGTAACAGCACGCACAGGCAGAGTGGTTGAGGCAAACCCCATGAGAAAAGCATGAACACATAAAAAATGGCTCAAAAGTAGGACCCCCAATGAGTCGGACGGGCTGCATTTCATGGCGCTCATTCTTCATTTCCTGTTTTTCGCTCCCCTGCATTAATGAACAAGGGCGCAAAAAGTATTCAGGTGAATTTGATCAGTTTTAATAGGCATATATATATATATATATATATATATATTGTTACTGTCGAGTTATCCGTGGGTTGGCACCAACGCGCCCTCACTGGGCTATCGCACCCATTCCCCCTCAACTCGGGTGCATTCCCCTTTTCTCCCTTACAACTGTGGTCCAAATTATTATTATTATTTTTTTTGTTTTGTTTTTAAACCGAACATCGCCCGTCCCTCACAACTTTATTACACCCATGTTCGTTTGTGCCTAAGCACGTCTGCGCGGACGACTCCTCAGTCCTCTCTCTCTCTCTCTTCCTTTT